TTCAAGTTACGAACGTCTCTGGACAATTTATATTTTAGTAGGGTACTTGTAAAGCCTTCTAAATGCAAAGGATGAATGCTGTGACAAATCGTGAAGTCATCAAATGTCTGTTCATGAAGATGAACTTGCCCAAAAAATGGGGAAATTTATAATATCATCAGGCAGAAACCGTTGTTTGATTTCAAGACTATGTGGCCTGTGTATTGTGTACCCCAAACCAGGCAACAATCAAACTAGAATACACATACACATATGCACACACACATGCAGAGCACACACAACACAAATTTGCTATTCAGTCTTATTTTCATTAATCTTGAGTGTTTCCACAGAATGCTGCGGGTCTTTGGAGACGAACAGAGCTTGATTTTAAATCTTGGTTATGCAATTTACTAGTTGTCTGACCTTGGGCAAAAAACTCAACCCATGAGTGAAATTCTGTTTCCTCACCTGTGAAGTGAAATATTTACCTAAGAATTGTTGCAGAGGTTCAATGAGGTAACACGGACGAAGTAGTTAGCATGTAATAGACACTCAACAAATTACAATTTCCCCCACAGCCCTCTATTCTGCCTCCACAGTTTGGAATTGGTTGAAGTCCCGAGAATGACAGCATTCTTCTCACGTGCTAATGATAAACTGCTGTTGCACTGAATAAATTGTAATAAAATTGGTGTTCCTGTCTGTCACCCTATTGTGAGCTCCTGAGAACCAGCGCCTGTGTTGAGTTCACCAGGCCAGGATCTTCAACATATTAGGAGCTCAGTATGCTTGTTAAATAAATTAATAATCTCCGAAAAACAACTGTCCTTGATCTTCCACAGACTTCTTTTCCTAGCTACTAAGGATCGCTCGCCAATGCTGCTTTCACTTGAAGTTGACTCTCTTTTTCTTCAATAATGCCTCTACTCTGAAATAACACATACTCCAAAATATCAGTTTAATAAACATAAATTAGTTGCTCATTGCACTGTGATATTAGTTAATTTTGAAATTGCATTATAGATTTCTAAATTAAAGGGACAGCCTGCCTGTCACTCACATCACATACAATGAATGCCAACATCAGGCATCACCTTTTTCCGGCTTTGCCAGACTGAAGGTCATTATCAATTGCTGTTTAATCAGCCAAGTCATGCATATAGACAAAGGTTAACTGTGCATGGACCAATCTGACTTCCTTTGTCATCGCAAGACAATTTGCAGCTTAATAAAGCTGCTCTGATTGCACTTAACAACACCTGCTTTAAAATCCAGCCTCATTCATAGCACACTAATGAGTTACGGATCTTCTGGCAAGGACATGATCAAAGACAGATGATTTACTTTCTGATTAAATGACCTAAATAATATAAAACAAACCTTCCAGTTTCCTTTAGGGAAAGCCTTTTTGGAAAAAGTTATAAAAGCTTGGCATCTTCAGATATGGTTAAAAAAAAAGACAGGAAAGCATCATCTTTGGGCTCTTTTAAATTGTGATGTGAAACCACAGTGAGCAATAAATGAAATTGAACCAAACCAAGCCTCTGACCTTTGAACTCACACCCTAAAACAAAATATAACCACTGAGCAAGAAAGCAAAAAGATATAAAACTTATAAAACAAAAAGGGAATTTTTGGAATCTTTATGGAGGCAGTATATTAATTTAAAGACTATTGTTTTAGAAGCAGCTCTGTTACTAGAATAATAAAAATGATTTGACCCTTTCACATACACTGGAGTCTGGGAGTTTGGTGTTGACTTACTACGTGATGTCAGGCAAGTCATTTGCTGCTTTGAATGGAGCCATGTGTTCTGATTCAACACAACCACTGGCTGAACTTCCAACACTAGAAATCTTGTACCTTTCTTTTTGCATTTCTGTAATTATTCTATCTGTCCTAGAACATCAATCATTCTTGCCTGCCTAAAGATGGCTCCTGGTAAGGGGAACGGCTCTGCTACAAAGCACAACCTCTGCTACAAAGACTAGTGTGGGAGCAGAACCTGGTGCCAGAACCTGACCCAGAGCAGCCAGTCCAGAGACCTGCCAGTGACAAAAGCTTTCAGTTATCGCCAATCCAAAGTCGTCTCAGAAAGAACAGATCTGGAAGTCCAGACAAAATCAAGAGGTTGGGAGAGAGAAGCTGAAATAAACACACACGTACATGAGAACAGACACAAGGAGGTTAGTTAGCTGGGTAAATTCATGAGAGAGCACAAGAACAAAGTTGCATTAGTGGGTTTTTTTCTGATCATTTGTTTTTAATCTTTTATTTTGACATTCCTTTAGGCTTACAGAAAATTTGTAAGAATATTAGAAAGATACCCTTTTTATTCAGTTTCCCCATATATAACATTCTACTACATTTACTTCATCCTTCCCTCTCTCTCACTTTTTCTAGATAGATAGATAGATAGATAATTGAGGGAAGTAGAGAAATGTATATGATATACCTATAGACATACGTATTTATCTGTTTATAAATATGCATGTATATTTCTTTCTTTATATTTATATACCTACATATTATTTTTTTTCTGAATCATTTAAAAGTTGACTCATGATGCTCTTTTACCACTAAATACTTTAGTGTCTGTTTCCTATAAACAAGGAATTCTCTTACACAGCCAAAGTATAATTACAAAAATCAGGAAATTAGCATTGACATGATAATATTATCTATTCTGCAGACCTTATTCAGATTTCATCAATTGTCCCAATAATGTCTTTCACAGCAAAAGAGAACCAAAAATCATACATGGCATTATTGCCATATCTCTTTGGTTTCCTTTAATCTAGAACAGTTTCGAGTCTTTGTTTGCATTTTATGAATTGACATGTTTCAAGAGAACAGGCCAGTTATCTCGCAGAATGTCCCTCAGTTGGGATACGTCTGAAGATTCCTCATGATCACATTCAGCTTACAAATACTGCATTAGGGATGGAACTCATTCCCCTGTCCCTTTGTTTGTGACTCAGCCCAAATGACACATTACTGTTAGATTTTCCATGAGGCTTTTTTTATGGCTTAGTGTGTCTCCCTTGAATTTTCTTGAGCAAGAAGCAAAAGTATGAATGGTTTTCTTTTTCCTTGAAACATGAAAAGTTTGAATAACAAACATCCCTAACTTAGGCACTCATCTGAGAGGAAATACAGCATATTGTCAAGAGGAGAGGCTCTAAATGCCGACTCTCTGGGTTCAAATCTTAGCTCTATTACTTGCTCTCTGTGAGATTATAAATAACTTAATCTCTCTGTGACTTAACCTCTTCAGCATTAAAATGGAAATAAGTAATAGAACAAACTCTCTAGGGTTGTTGTGAGGGGTAAATAACAAATATATAGGAATTTCTTGGAAGAGACTTTCATTTCATGCAATATGGCACATTAGATACTCAGGGGGGAAAAACCCTTAGCAGTATATCACATGAAAATGCTGAGAGAATAAATAAATAAAACAGAAAACTAAAAAAGAATTCCTCAGAATCAGTGGTGTGATGGAGCTGGCTTTTATTGGTTCACAAAAAACCATCTTTTAAATTTTAGAAACTTTGCAAGACAATTGTTAAATTGCCATTATTAAAAATAAAATTATATAAATTTACCATTAAATAAATTATTTAAAAAATAAAGATAAATAAAAAACTGACAATTATCTGATTATTGTGTTAATTGTAAATTATAACTTATGCTCTTAAAAATATTCACATCTGTTGTATCTGTATGGTGGAAATATCATATAATGGTGTGCTGCTGTTTACCTCTTCCCAAACTTGCATTCAGTGATGTCACATTAGTTTGACATTGGCCTTGGTGGGAATATTTCCACCCTGGAAATTGGCAAACATTACAAATCAGAGCTTTTTTTTTGGAGAGCTGATTGTTAAATATTTATCAGTACACCACTGTCCACCGACCAGAAGTGATAAAAAAAGTAGGATTCATGGAATTTAATGAGTCCTAAAGCTGAAATTTTCCCGAGAGATTCTCTCTTAATCTCTCGTGGCTAAGATGTGTTGTATTGGCCACACATTTGGGTAGAAAGGAGACAAAATCTGTGGCTCAATCAGAGTGAAGGACTGATTAGAGACTCCTTCATAAAACTAGAATTCCTAAGGGATGACACAGTCAATGAGTTTAATTTAGAAAAATGAAATTGCTCTCAGAGGAACACTGTAGAGATATTTGTCTGGACTGGTTTTAACTTTGAGAGCGGAGGAAAAAAAGAAAAGATAATATCTATCCTGAGAGGTTCTAACTACAAACCCACATTCCTGTCTGTCTGGGGATAGAATTTAAATGCCCTGCTTGGCCTGAAAATCTCCAAACTTGGCTATTGGTTTACAGCGACTCAAAGTTGGTAGGAGGCCCATAGCAAATGTAAATGCAATTCCTCTCTAATGGAACATGAAGAATTCCCACAGATAATATTTTAAGGATATGAAATCACAATGAGTATCACTAAATAAAAAATAATAAACAAAAGGGAAAGAGATTTGACAGACATTTCTAATAACTTTGCAAAAACATATGAAAAAATGTTGGACATCATTAATGGTTAGGGAATGCACAGTAAAACCTTAATGATACAACACTACATAACCACGAAAGTGGCCCAAATTAATAAGACTGATGATGCCAAGTGTTTGTGAGAATGTGGACCAATCAGAATATTCATATGATGCACTGAAAGTGCAAGTGGAAAAACAAAATTGGCACTAGCTTCTAAAGTTGAAGATACTCATCACAAGTCGGTTTTTCTGAAAAGCGAAAACTGAGATAAGAATGAAACAGTTTACTGGGGAGGGACGCCTGTGAAAAGAAAAGGAAGGGTATATAAACTAGTCATGGTACTACTTCCTTGTCAATTCATGAACCTTGGAACACTTAGACCATTTGCCACTTTTTTATATGTTACTGTTGTCATGAATATTTATTTTCTACATAATTTAAATTTAGCAATACATTATTATGAATATCGCTTAATACATGCATTAGCCATTTGTATATCCCACCTCATGACCCTTTCCGTTGCTCTTCATCCCTTCCTGCATATTCTAGCTGCCATTCAAGATCATTTTTCTTCTACCCGAAGAATGTTCTTTGTTGTTTGCCTCCATGTGTGTCTGCTGCTCATTAATTCTATCAGTTTTTGTTTTTCTGAAAATGTCTTCATTTTTTGAAAGAAATTTTCAGCTGTGATAGAATTCTAAGTCAGAAATTACTTGCTTTTATTATTTTGAAGATATCATTCCATTGTCTTTTGGCTTCCATTGTTGATGTTGAAAAATCAGCTCATTATCCAGGTGCTATTTCTGTGTATTTCAGAGGTCTCATTTTACTCCTTCATTTCTCCAGCACCTGTTTAATTAAATGCTTACATTAAATTCTTCATGATAAAATCTCTAGCGTGGTTTCCATATTCTTGACTGAACAGTGACTAATACAGTATAGTTATTTTAAAGTGCATATCCAACATTTCTAATTTCTGGACCTACAGTTGGCAGACTTTCATATTTTATTGACAAGCTGTGTTGGTTCCTATATCCTTGGTTATTTTTGTTTGAGTGATGAGTATTATATACAAAAAAATAGTTATATATACACATAGTTGCAGATAGTTTATATATGTATACATAGTTTATTTTGTTCTGGGCATTGTGATAAACATTTTACATGAATTACCTAACAATTGTTCTGCAAGGTAGGATCTAATATTATTTTTCTTATTTTAAATATAGGGAAACTAAAGTTTAAAGAAGTTAAGTAGCTTTCCCAAGACTACATGGGTGGTAAGAATTAGGCTTCAAATTCAGGTCTATATGACTCCAATTACAGAGGTCTTAACTGCTAGATTGTCTAAAGATAATAACGAAAAGATCTGTTTTGTTCAGAGTATAAAAAACCACTTTAGCATCCTCCTGCACTGCAAAACATACAATACTGCAATGTGTATGCATTATGTGTATGCATGCATGTATGCTACATGTGTGGCTGTGCTGGTACAGAGTTTAGCATCCTTTTTAAAAGATCAAGTTGATACTTGTATAAACTAAATTAATGTTTCTCTAGTGATTGACTCAAAGGATGGGAACAAAAAGTTCTTAAGCCAAATATGAATAGATTAAGAGATTAGAGTTTGAGTGAGTTATGAAAAAAAGAGTTGAGAAGGAGAAAAAGTGTAAAAAGAATTTTCAATTATCACTCGAGTAACGGTTCTTTGTTTAATCTCACTAAAGCAACAGGAACGTAGGATGCTCATTTGTCCACTTGTGATAGCTTTTTAAAATTTCGTTATTAAATCCAACAGGCTTTCATGGTAAAACCTCTGGGCAAACTAGGAATAGAGAAGAACTTCTTCAACTTGATTTAAAAAACTTAGAAAAAAACCCTACAGCTAGCATCATACTTAATAGTAAGAAACTAAAAGTTTTCTCACTAAGATTAGGAACAAAGCAAGGATGTCCTCTCTCACTACTCCTTTTCAACATCATACTGAAAGTCTTAGGTAATGTAATAAGACAAGAAAAGGAAATAAAAGGTATACAAATTGAGAAAGAAAAATTAAAATTGTCTTTGTTCATGGATGACAGGATTATCCACATAGAAAACCAAAAGAATTGGAAAATAAAAAGCCTCCTAGAACTAAAAAGTGATTATAGCAAGGTTTAAAGACACAAGGTTAATGTTCAAATGTCAATTACTTTCCCACATACCAGCTACGAATAAGTGGAATTTGAAATTAAAAACACAATACCATTTACTTTAGGATGGCCACAGTGAAATACTTAGATATAAATCTAACAACATATGTACAATATCTATGTGAAGAAAACCATAAAAATATGTTGAAAGAAATGAGGTAAAAACTAAATAAATGGAGAGCAATTCCATGTTCATGGATAGGAAGATAATACGGCCAATATATCAGTTCTTCCCAAGTTGATTTATAGGTTTCATAAATCTCCAATCAAAATCCCAGAAAGTCATTTTGTGGATATCAACAAACTGATTCTAAAGTTTATATGGAAAGGCAAAAGACCCAGAATAATCAACACAATATTGAAGAAAAAGAACCAAGTTGAAGGACTGACCTTATCTGATTTCAAGACTTATTATAAAGCCACAGTAATCAAGAGAGGGTGGTATTGGGGAAAGAACAGACAAATAGATCAATGGAACATAATATATAGCCCAGAAACAGACTCCCATAAATATAGTTAACTGATCTTTGACAAAGAAGCAAAGGCAGTACAACGGAGCAAAGATAGTCTTTCAATAAATGGTGCTGAACCAACTGGACATCTACATGCAAAAAAAAATTAATCTAGACATAGACCTTACACTTTTTGCAAAAATTAACTCAAAAGAGATCATACAACTAAACGTAAAATGCAAACCTATAAAATTCTTGGAAGATAACATAAAAGAAAATCTAGATGACCTTGGGTATGGCAATGACTTTTTAGATACAACACTAAAGGCATGATTCGTGAAAGAAACAGTTGATAAGCTTGCCTTCATTAACATTAAAAATTTCTGCTCTATGGAAGACATCATCAAAAGAATGAGAAGACAAACCACAGACTGGGAGAAAATACTTGTAAAAGACACATGTGATAAAGGGCTGTTATCCAAAATATATGAAGTATTCTTAAAACTCAACAATAAGAAAATGAATAGCCCAATTAAAAAATGACAAAGGACCTGAAATGATGACTCACCAAAGAAGATATACAGATGGAAAGTAAGCATTTAAAAAGATACACAGAGAGTGACATCAGCATCATGGCAGAGTAAAGTGCTCCCTTTGTCTTTCCCCCCTAAGTAACAACTGGTAGAACAATCACAGACCAACAAAGGATTCTCTGCACAGCACAGCAGAATGCCTGAGAGATCCATACATCCACACATCTGAAGGTGGGTGGACTGGACCTTGTGGAGGCAGTGGAACTATGGGAGCAGTGGCAACAGCTCCTAAGACTGGAGGCTCCAGGAACTGCAGCTGTACCTGTGGCCAGAGGCTCCAGGAACTGTGGCTATGGTTGTGAATGTCAGCTGCAGGAATGCAGGCAGCCCATGCTCCCGGAGGCTCGGGGAGCCACTGTGGCACCTGTGAAAGGAAGCCCCAGGAACCATAGCAGTGCCTACAACCCAGCTCCCTCTTCTTTCCCTGGGAGCAGCACTTCTGAGCCCAGCCCTCCTAGAAGGGGGTACTGCATCTAAGACCCCAGTAACCCTAGCAGTGGCAGTAGTGCCTGTGACTTGAGGTTCCAGGAACTGTGCCAGTGCCTGAGACTAGAGACTCCAGGAATTACAGTGTCCCTTCAACTCAGCCCTTTCCCCTCTTTCAGCAGTGGTGGTTGTGCCCACAACCTGAGGCTCCAGGAACCACACAGTGCCTACAACGCAGCCCCCTACCCCTCTGCCAGCAGCAGCATCTCTGACACTGGCCCTCCCAGCAGCAGGAGCTGCATCCAAGACCCCAGTGGCCCTGGAAGCAGCAGCAGTGCCTGTGACCTGAGGTTCCAGGAACCACAGTAGTGCCCGAGACAAGAGGCACCAGGAACCACAGTGGCACCTATGACCCAGGCACCCTTCCCCTCACGGGGGTGGTGGTGGCACCTGTGACCCCACCCACCTGGCAGTGGTCATGACAGCTGTGAACCGAGTATTCCAGGCAGTGGTGGTACCAGCACCCCCAGAAAACTGGGGAGCAGCAGTGCAGGTGGCACATGTGGAAGACAGTGCCCAAGACTGCAGAGAGCCCAGTAACAGCAGCAGTGGAGACCACCACCCCAGTCCTTCCCAGCTGCAGTAGCTCCTGAAACTTTGGCCTCCCCACCCACAAGAGCAGCACCTGCAGACCCAACAAATCTGGACATGGAGGAGGTGTTCATGACCCCAAATTCTGCCCAAACTTCTCCCTCCCCTGACCTCAGAGGAGGAACCCACAACCCAGGTGACCCTGGAAGCAGCAGAAGTGTTTGCCAGCTGGTGACAGTGGGTGGCAACACTCATGACTGCAGCAACACTGTAGGCAACAAGACACCAGCAATCTCAGAGGCACAAGCAGCACAATGAAGAAACTGATGACACCTCTGGCAGAGGCAGTGGAGGGTGGAAAGTTCAGGCTCTCAAATATAATCAGAAGCAGCTCAGAATAAAAGTAAATAAAGCCTTATCTAAATAAGAAAGCTGTTTGCTATTACAAATGAGCCAGGAAAGAAACATCTCATCTGGCACCAAGAAAAACTACAATAACATGGTGTCATAAAAGGAAAATGACAACTGTCCAGAAAGAAAACTTGAAATTGTGGAAGATTGTGATCTAACTGATAAAGAATTCAAAATAGCAACACGAATAAACTCAACAAGCTACAAGAAAACTCACAAAGACAGTTCAAATAGCTCAGGAATAGTATTAATGAATAGAAGGAGCGCTTTGCCAAAGAGATTAAAACTCTAAAAAGGAACCAAACAGAAATTCTGGAGCTGAAGAACACACTAAATGAAATGAAGAATAAAGTAGAAAGCATTGGAAATAGACCAGACCATATGGAAGAGAGAGTTACTGAACCTGAAGATAGAAATATAGAAATGATTAGGGTAGAAGAGGCGAGAGAACCAAGATTTTTTTAAAATGGAGAAAGTCTATGACAAATATCCAACATAAGGAAAAGCAACATAAGGATACTGAGTATGCCAGAAGGATAAGAGAAGGAGAAGGGAACAAAGAGTGTATTCAGAGAAATAATAGCTGAGAACTTCTCAAACCCGGGGAAGAAACTGAATATGTACGTATATAGAGATAACAGAACACCTTATTATCTCAACACAAAACGATCTTCTCCAAGTCATATTGTATTAAAAGTATCAAAAGTCAATGACTAAGAAAGAACATTAAGGGCAGTCAGAGAGAAAAAACACTGACCTACAAAGGAACCCTCATTAGACTACTAGTAGATTTCTCATCAGAAACTGTACAGGCCAGGAGAGAGAGGAATGATATACTTAAAATATTGAAAGATAAAAATTGTCAGCCAAGAATACTGTATCCAGCAAGGTTATCCTTTAGAAATGAGGGAAAAATAAAAGCTTTCCCAGACAAACAAAAGTTGAAGGAGTTCATAGCCACTAGATTTGCATTACAAGAAATCTTGAAAAGAGCTCTCCGACCTGAGGAAAAAAACACAAAGGTTTACAAATCTTAAACTAAGGTGATAAATAAACAGATGGAATAAAAAAAAATGCAACTATATATCAGAATAGGATAGTAAACAATTATAACATAAAGGGAAAGAAAGTATTAAAAATAATTACAACCACTTTGATTTGGTAATGAACTCACAATACAAAAAGGGACAATTTGTGACAACAAAAACATAGAAGGGGAAGAGGAAAAGGACGGAACATGCATAAGCAAATGAAGATAAGATTCTATCAGCAGAAAAAGGACTATCTCATCTAGGAGATGTTTTATACAAACCTCACAATAACCACAAAACAAAAATTTAGAGCAGAGTCATGAAACATAAAAAAAGAAGAAACTGAGAAACACGTCACAGAAAACCACCAAACTGAAATAGCATACAGAAACACAAGGAAAAAGAAACAATGGAAATATAGAGCAACCATAAAATGAAAAATGAAATGGCGGGGCTGGCCCCATTGCCGAGTGGTTAAGTGCATGTGCTCTGTTCCAGCAGTCCAGGGTTTTGCCAGTTCGAATACTGGGAGTGGACATGTCACCACTCCTCAAGCCATGTCGAGGTGGCACCCCACATGCCACAACTAGAAGGACCCACAACTAAAAATACACAATTATATACTGGGGGCTTTGGGAGAAAAAGAAAAAATAAAATCTTAAAAAAAAAAAAAGAACAACTCCTAGTCAAATTGTCATAAAATTTGACAAGAATAAAGACGAAATCTTTTTTAAAAAAGATGAAATTGCAGTATTAAGCCCTCAAATATCAATAATCACTCTCAATGTAAATGGGTTGAAATCACCAACGAGAAGACACAGAGTGGCTGGATGGATTAAAAAACAAGATCCAACAACTTGCTGCCTCCAAGAGACCCATCTCAGCTCTAAAGACAAACATAGGCTCAGAGTGAAGGAATGAACGATGATACTTCACAAAAATAGTAACTAAAAGAAAGCTGGGGTAGCTATACTCACATCAGATGAAATAGTCTTCAAGCCAAAAAAAGATAACAAGAAAAAAAGATGGACATTATATAAAGATAAAGGAGACAATCCATCAAAAATATATAACATTTCTTAATAAAATGAACCTAGTATAGGACAATCAAAGTATGTAAAGCAACTATTAACAGACCTAAAGGGAGAAATTGACAGCAACACAATAATAGTAGGGAACTTTAATACCTACTTATATCAATGGATAGATTATCAAGACAAAAAGTCAACAAGGGAACATTGGTCTTAAAGGAAACACTAGACTAGATGACCTTCACAGATATACATCATAACTGGCTCTATCGGAACCTAGAGTACCCAAGATTCTGTTCTGTTTGATCCCAAACTCTTTCCTGTCTCCACCTCTATTCTCTGCCTGCCTGAAACCAGAGAGGGTTAAAACAGGTAATAGAACATGGGGACCTGACTCATTGTTCACAATCGAGAGGATGTGCTGGAAAATATTCTTTCAATTAGGCAGGAATAAATATTTCTCAGCATTAGCCATAGGTAATAGCAAAGGTGAAAGCACAACTCTTAAAGTTTACTCAGACTACCTTTTTGTCATTGAAGGTAGTCTGAGTCAATCATAAAGTGTTCAGACAAGTGTGCTGGGGCTATACCCTAACATAATTCCCAAACAGGCGGGTGTGAGAAGTGAGGAAATTAAGAAGTCACATGCTGGGGCTGGCCCCGTGGCCAAGTGGTTAAGTTCGTGGGCTCTGCTTTGGCAGCCTGGGTTTCGCCAGTTCGGATCCTGGGTGCGGACATGGCACTGCTCATTAAGCCATGCTGAGGTGGTGTCCCACATGCCACAACTAGAAGGACCCACAACTAAAAAATATACAACTATATACTGGGGGAACTTGGGGAGAAAAAGCAGGAAAAAAAAAAGAAGATTGGCAACAGTTGTTAGCTCAGGTGCCAATCTTTAAAAAATAAAAAAAATTAAGTCACATGCTGTCTGAGATGCTTTCTCTCTCCTCTCTGGGTAGCTAACTATGCATTTTAGAAGCTTCCACTCAAGTCCTCTCTCTTCCAAGAGATATAACCTCTTCAGTCTTCTCTAGCTTGCTAGAATTTTTCCTTCATGCTCAAAGTCAGAAGCTTTGATTTTAAAATATTGAATTGATCTGCTTTATGTTTTTGCTGTCTGGAGGGTCAACAAGATTGAAGCTCCTTAAGTGTAGGGACCAAAACTTAAATCCTTTTTGCCAACCTCACATTTCTAGCAGAGTACAAAGTAAGTGCCTCGTGAATATTTATTAGTCGATGGTTCAGAGAGCTTCTGTGTGAAATGTTATTCTAAACTTCATTGTTGAAAGGAAGCCAGCCCAATGATCAGTAAGGACTAGCTTGGGTAAATTTTACATGTAGATACATCAATGATTAAAACTTTTTTGTGGGAAAAAAACCCCACATTCATTTTCCTTGTTTCTGGGATGATTCTAGAAAGGTGTGTTGGTAAGACAGTGAATGGGAGTGGGATGATGGCATTCTGGTTCAGCTCTATGGCTTGCTAGGGAGAGGACAAATTGGGGTCTCTGTGAAGCTTGACGTCTTCATCAGTCAAAAGGGGAAAGTATGCACTCTGCCACCTCCACTAAGGGGTTTTCGGGAGAAAGTAACCTTCCATAGTGCTTCTTTCTCTCCTGTGTTCTATTGTAGTTAACATATCACTATGTATTAGAGGTAGTGCTGTACTCAAGCTGGCTTGTATAGGCTCACAAGAACTGATTTTTAAACTTTGAAGGATTCGTGAGCTAGTTGTTAAACACAGCCATTATTAGAAATTAAATTATGTAAACTTACAATTAAATAAATTATATTAAAAATATGAGCAACAAATAATAAAAACTCATCACTTCCTAATTATTTTACTACATTTTATTATTCCCTATGCTCTTGAGGTTTTGATGTCTATAATATCTGTGTGGTAGAAATACTGTATGATGGAGTGCTATTTCACATCTCTTCCCAACTCTGCATTCAATGAATCACGTTGTTAGCTTGAAATTGGCTAAGATGAGAGTATTTGCACCATGAAAATCAACAAATGCTACGAATTAGGGCTTTTTGTTCAGACAGCTAGTTTTTAAACATTTACAATTCACCACAGATATTTTTTACCCACTTGATTATTAGCAACTTGAGAAAAGAGCTAGTGTCAAATTTATCTTTGTATTTTCCGCAATGTCATGCAAAGTTTAATCCAGTGTGCACTAGAATCCACTGGGGAGTTTTAAAAGAGAGCAGAAAATCTAATGCCTGGACAGCCCATCTCCAAGATTTCGACTTAGTTGGCTTGGCTAGGAACTAACGTATTTTTTAGAAAGCTTCCTGTTGAATCTAATGTACACCAAATTGAAAAACACTGGCCTAAACACCACCTTGAAACTCTCAGACATTGAGTGATTACTGAATAAAAGAATAAATATGTTAAGAAACTTTATAAACTACAATATACTATATGTAAGATTCTTGTAAGAAAAATACTGCTTTAAAATTAGTTTGCTATAGATGTTCTCAAATGCTTGCCTAATTTTCAGTGGTGGGCCCTATGGAGAGAAACTCAATATCTGGAGAAAGAAATAGGATGTAAACTTACTTTTCTTTGGATAATTTTTTAATTTTGTACCATGAGTATATATAAGCTATTCAAAACACATACATAAATTTTTATGATCTGTGTTGCAAAAATGGTTAGTGAGCAAATTAACTTTTTAAAAATATAGTTTTATAATTTCTCAATCTGATTCTTGGAAATTGCCTAGCTAACCTTTTTAGGGTAGAAAAAAGTATTTACAGTCATTTTACTCCTCCTACAGTTAGCTGAAGCTTAAGCATAGGGCCACAAGAAGTGGTCAGCTACAGATGACAAAACATAAGAGATTGTCTTAAAAGTCTCTACTTTGGGAGAAAACAAATTTTATTAAGAGAATGTAAATCACCTTAATATAGATTGGCTAAATCTTTCCTTAAAAGCAATAAGAGAATATTAGTAGTTTTAAATTTGGATATATGGGCACATCCAAACATTTGAGAACAATGATGATATAAAATATCAATGATGAAGATTTTTTACAGTGTTATTTTTAATGTATACTATGAGATTTTACAAAGTTACATACAAGTGAAGCTATTTAATAGTAACTAAGTTAAATGGAATTAATCATGCTAAAACTCCAAGTCTAATCTTTAATCCTATTATATGAAATGTAAGCATTACTTTTCTATTTATAATAGGTACAGTATATAAATCTATTTCTTTATCTGAAGAGTGAGCATAATGTTAGTACCAATCTTACATGATTATTATGAGGATGACTCCAGTTAATAAATGTAAAATATATAGAACAACGTCTTGCGTGAAGCAAGTCTTTAAAAAATATTTTGTTTCATTTATTTTATAGAAAATATAACCCAGTCCCAGAAAGGCTAAGGGAATAGACTACAGTCACACAGATTTTTAACAAAAGAACTAGGTGTACTGGACACATGACTCTGACAATCCCATAATTAAAAACTCTTTAACAAACTCAATTATCACCATCCTAAGAAAGGACCGAAGCTTAATTTTTCTTAGTAATTTTACTTAATTCTTTTTTGCCCATTTAAAAATCCCATATCCTAAAATAACCTGCATGTTTTATTTTAATACTAAATTATGATTAACAAATAAATTACATGAAGATTCAATTACAATATAGGCTTTTCAAAGTCCGTTTAGAAATATAATGGTTCTCTATTTTCCCACAGGAATTTAATTATTTAATTTTAAGTGTGATAATGACTCTAGAATTAACTGATTCATGTACATTAAAAAGTTCTGTAATAAATGAAATTTAATGTTTAGTATAACTGGAATCCATGGAAAAATCTATTACCATTTTTTTCACCATTGCCAATTAGATCTAATGAAAGATAAAATTAAATAACATCAGCGAAATTATGATATCCCTCTATATTTATAACTATATTGTTTTGGAAAAGTCCATTAAAAGTGCCATATATTGGAAGTTCCACTTATAGTAATAGAGACTATTAAACTTGGAAAAATAATCTGAAATAGAAGCTAGGAAACTGTACAAGAAAAAAAATAAGTATGCCAAGAACCAGGAGAAAAAGGAAATCCAGAGAGGTGAGGCCAACATTTGAGGGTGCTTTTACACTAGAGTTGTTGTCCCATTCTTGAAGAAACGTCTGAAAGTTGTAGAAATTATGTTAAGAGCAGAAAAACGTTGAGTTGTATAAAGACACAAAAGGAGACCAATTAAACAGATGGAGAGTCCAGAAACCGACTTGTGTGTACATGGATATTTCATTTATGACAGAGGGGGCACTACCCAGCAGTGAGGAAATGATTGTCTTGTCAATTAATGATGCTCAGTTGATTGGCTATCTAATTCGAAAAATGGAAACTGACCTCTACCTCACACCTCTAAATGTAAAAGGTAAAATAATAAAGCATCTAGAAGATATAAATGGAAAAAAAAGTCCTCATGTCCTTGAAGTAGATGAAGATTTGTTAAATAGCACATACAAGTAGAAACCATAAAGAAGTTATTGACAATATGGACTACATTAAGATCAAGACCTTTTCTTCATCGCAAAACACCATTAAGAGAGTAAAAATGGAAGTCACAGAGTGGGAGAATATATTTGCAAGGAATTTAACAATAAACAAAAGGACTTGTGACCTTCACATGTACACACACACTTTTACAAATCAATAGGAAACACGTAGCTAATTCAATAGACAAATGAATAAGAAAGTTGAAGAAAAACTTTACAAAAGAAGATAGTCAAGTAGCCCACAGACATTTGAAAGAGTGTTCAACCTCACTAAGTCCTCTGGGAAATGCAAGTTAAAACCACCACAAGATACTATTGCACACCCTCTAGAATGACGAAAATTAAAAATATTGTAAATAAAAAGTGATTGTGAAGATAAAGAGTAATAGGATATCTCATCCATCACTGAGTGCAAAGTAGTACCATCACTTGGGAAATATTTTAATGTTTGCTATGAAAGTTCATCCACCTACTGCATTCCTAGGTATACAGTCAAAAGAAATTCATATACACTTACATGTAAATACACGTATAAGAATATTCATGAAAGCATTATTTGAAATCGTTCCAAAAAAGAAAACAGAAATGCCCCCTCAACATAAGCATAAATATATATTGTTTTACTCACACAACAGAATACTACAAAGCAATGAAAATTAACGAAGTACAGTTTTAGGCAATAATTAATATCATTCAAAAGAAGCCAGATACGTGAAAATATATACCATATGATTCAATTTATATAAAGTTCAAA